AGAGAGAGAGAAAGAGAGAGAGATGTAATTTTGGTGAAAGTACATATAGCCAAAGAGAAACCGTTTGAATAATTTCTCTAGTACAATTCAGAGACACTGGTTACATTAAGTTGGAGTATTACTCTCACTAACCTTTTCCAAATTATTCTGTCACCATTACCTCAAATTCACTGTCCAACCTTTTGAGTCAGTTTTCTTTCTAAAAACTGTTGCTATTTGGTTTGACTCTTGGAATTCAATAGCATCTCCTACAATGACTCAGTTGCAGTGAATTTCCTCTTCCTTATTTTCACTAAACATCAGGCATGTACCTTCCTGCTCATCTCTGCCACACCTCTACTCCTTCTCTCCACCTCTACCAAGCTCATCAGCCATTCAAAGGCCCAGCATTATTTCTCTTGCTATGCAATCTCCCTCTATTCCAACTCTGCTTTCACTAGCTATTTCACTTCTGCTTATGTTCTGTTTAGCACAAGGAGCAGTTGATGATGTACTATACCTATCTCTCCTTAATTATATATCACACATAATTTAGTATTTTATATATTCTTTTCTTCCCTAATTGTTTCAAGTCTTGTCAACCAGGCCATAATTTGTTCCTATTATTAGCGTTCTATGAGAAGTGCTATGATTTTTCCCCCCTACAAGCCCTGAGAGATTTCTAAACCTAGAGGAAAGGTATCAGAGGATTAACTAAAGGTTTTCACGTGTATCACAATAGCTTTCATTTCCACTGATGTTTAAAACAGGAGTAACTATACTTTCATGACAACAAGAAAGGTATGAATCAAACGTCAGAAATGCTGTTATAGATTATAAAGAGTAATTAACAGTTTGAAAATGCTTTACTTGAAAGATCTTTTAGAATCACTAGAGGGATGGATCAAAGTCTGGCATTTCCTTGAGGAAGACAAATCTTACAATGCAAGGCTTTTATAAAATTCAAGGTGGACACCTCATCAGAACCACCCAATGGCCATCATAAATGGCTCTGTCCTTTTCTTCCTTCTGTTCCTGCTGTCAGTGTGAATATAGGAAGCCTTGAGGAATATCTCTGTGGCCCATTTGCTTATCATGCCCATTTACAACCTTGAAGATGGCCCCCTCCTGTCATGGTGGAAGCTGGTCTGTGAAGGCAGCCTCACCACCCGGAAGTGGCTAGTTCCCAGCAGCAGGCACTGTACCTGTAGGCTGTAGAGCAGGTGTCCTTGTACTCCTGGAGCTTCACGCACACCATGTTGAGGAACTGGTCCGAGTACGCACTCAGGTCATGCATCAAGTTCATGAGGTCCTGCACAGTCTTCTCCACGATGATGGTGCTCTGGACAAGAAGAAGAGAGGCCAAGGATAATGAGGAGATCTTTGACTCCGTAACATGTAGAACAAAGAACTGCCATTCAAAGGTGTGAAGATTCAAGATGCTCAACTTCTCCTGGAAGGTTCTGACATCTGACAATATTAACTAACACCACCTCCAAGAGCAATAGTGTCTCTCTGGAGACTAAGGTGCGCCTGATACAGGCCACAGTCTTTGCAATCATTTGTTATGCATCAGAGAGTTGGACAATGACTAGGGAAGATAGAAGGAGAATTGATGCCTTTGAGCTGTGGTGCTGGAGAAGAGTATTGAATGTACCATGGACTGCCAAGAGAACAAACAGATTCATCCTAGAGAGGGTTAAATCAGGCTACTCCTTGGAGGCAAGGATTTTGGGGCTTCGTCTGACATACTTTGGACATGTTGTAAGGAGGGACTGGTCTTTGGAGAGGGACATCATGCTTGGTAGGGTGGGGGGACAGCGCAGGAGGGGAAGACCCTCTATGAGGTGGATTGATTCAGTGACTTGGGTAATCGGGATGGGTGTGTCAGAGGCCATGCGACTGGCACAGGATAGAGCAGGGTTTAGGGCTGCTGTACATAGGGCCGCTATGAGTCGCAAACAACACATAACAACAACAACCTCCAAGAACATCAGAGTATCTCCAATTGCTGTGGCCTTCTAGAGATAGGAGCAAATGCTTTTTTGTGGAAGGACATGGGATGGAGATTTTCAAATTGATTTCATGAGATTCTTGACACCCACAAGACAGCTCTGTGGCTTTTAAGAAAGAAAGAGGCTGAAGCCTGATTTATTGCCTTCAGGGCTCACCGAGAGACCTCTGACAGGCACCACAAAGCAGCAGGCTTTCATGATTTATTTTAAAAGTTTCAAAACCATCAATCTATTAGGAACAACAAAGACTAACATTTTGTATTGTGCCTTACGACTTGTAGGATGTTTTCCTGTACACAACATATGTTATCTCACTTAAGACTCACATATTAATCATGATAATAATAAACATTTATTGGTTTCTTACAAGTGCCAGGTGCAAAGCTAAGCACGATACCAGCTTTATCTCATTTAATCCTCTCGACAGTCCTGCGATTACTTTAAAGATGAGAAGCCAGGCTTAGATGACGCCACCAAAGCACAGGCTCCTACCTTTGTGCTTTTCACTGCGCCAGTGTGCCTCAGAGGAGGCCCCGAGCTCTCCAGGCTGCGGCCCAATTATGTACCCATTGTCGTAGGTGCAGTGGGGTCTGCCCTCACCCCTAGTGACCTTGAGCGTTCGGCACCATCCTCACAACCTCCACTGCGTTTCAGCCCATCCTTGAAGTCACTATATTAATGCATCTCACCGAGGATTTTCTCATTAGATCACTGTATTTCTTACTATTGTTACCAAGGTAGAGGCAAAATCCAAACAGAGTCCGGCAGATTTGAAACGGAATGAACCAGATGAACGAGTATACAAAATGTGGTTTGGACACACAATGGAGTAACACGTAAGCCATAAAGAGACGTGAAGTCTGATGCATGGACTGCCCGGGTACGGACTGACCTTGAAGGCACTATGCTGAGTGAAAAGAGTCCGTCACAAGATAAACATGAGAAATCAGCATTCAGAGAGAAACAGGGGCCATGAGCGCCTGCCGGGCTGGGCTGGAAGGGGGAAAGGGCAGACGTGGCTCAGGAGCTGCTGAGTTTCTGCTAACGATGGTGGGATAATTTGGAACAGAGCAGTGAGGGCGGCAGCACAACCTGAAGAAGGGAATCTGTGCCACTGACTGTGATATGTTGAAACCTGCAAACACTGTGTTGCATTTTCATCACAGTTAAGAGAAAACTAAGTATCCTAAGAAAGTAAGCAGCCCATCTTCTAGCTACAGCCTGACAATACCGTACAGCGAATTGGTGTATTATCTGAAAAGAGGCGTATTAAGTAAACACTACATCTGCCACAGAAAGAAGACTGGGCTGCTTAAACCCCTGGTTCATGTCTCCTTATTAAAAGGAGCAGAATGATACTGGAGTGAATATTAATCACATGCTTAGCAGCTTGGAATCCTCTGGTCAATAGCTGGTTTGTTGAATATGTATTTATAGACAATTACAGGGGCTGGGCTTGTCTAAGTCATGGAAGGAGACATTTTTAAAAGGCTCTTCTGTCTGACAGTGATTCACAGGACTCAGGGCCATTTAACATTCACCAACTCCAGACTATGGGGTTCAGGGTTTAAGGTTTCAATATTTTTTCCTGTCCCCCAAAAAGAAGAGCTAAGCAGGTACAACTTTCCTTAACACGAGGGGGATTAGCTCCTGTTCTTAGTTCTGTTTATCGCATACTTATTAACATTATCTGGAAGGACAGGCTTCCTCGTCTTGTCTTCCTCCCCTTCCCTCTACCAGAAAAGGAAGGTTATTAGTTTATAAGGCAAACCTCATAGGATCCCAAATTACAGCCTCCACAGAATCCCCACAAGTTCAACTTCCTCTTCTGTATTGATTTTAAGATTAAAGCGGTGCAGCTTCTTCCTGATCCATAATCCTGCATTTGTGTGTGAGTGACAGGAATTGATTCTGTTCAGCTACATGTCCCCAAGCTCCTAAAAAAGAACCTGAAATCCTCACCCCAATTCAGAGCTCAGGCTCTTCCTAAGACGTGGGCCGCAATTAATAAAGGAGCTTCCAGCCGTCCTCAAAGTCGGTTTAAAAATCTACCCCAGTGCTGAGTGGTGGGCAGGTGAGAGGCTGGCTGGCTGGGAGGGAAGGGCCGGCTCTCCACCCAGTCTGCCTCTGAGAACCACCTCTCCGGGAGGTCAGAGCAGTCTCTTCCTTTGTTATGACCCAGTGATCCAAAGGCTCGTGTGCCCTTTGAGTGCCCTGTGTTTGTGGGTTCAATCACTGCCCTGGCATTTTCATACAGAGAACATAGGACAATTGTCCCTATGTCACCTCAGGTGCACCTGATCACCTGGTTAGAACACCAGCATATTGAAAAGGGAGGCCTGCATTTTTCTTTTTCTTTTGTTCACCATCCCAAGCCCTCATCATTTCCCGCCTCACTTGTTTCTAACTTGTGCAGGTCTCCAGGACAATAAACCACACTAAGGGTGCAAATCCACAAAGAGGAACCGTGCTCTGCATGCCATCCACGTAGGGGACGTGAAAGGGCTCTCTCTGGTGGTACAGTGTGCAATGTGGGTCAGACTGGGAGCCACGCGGGTGATGGAACTGCTGATGTCTCTGCATTTTGGAGGCTCCAGGGCCTCCATGGGTTTGGTCTGAGCGTGGCAACGCTGGAGAGTAAGCACAACAGTGTGATGTGAAGGCACTGGCTTGGGGGTGCAGCCCCCTCAGGGGTTCTCTGATCTGATCCTGCTGCCCCTCTTCTGTGCTGTCAGCAGAACCTAGTCATCATTTTAGCTGCAGGCCCCTCTGCACAGTCCCCTGAGCTAGAGGCTGGGGGAGGCAGATGCGCCCAGGCAAGGGATGATTACAATGCTGTGGCTTAATTCTAATGGCCGTGCGCAGCTCGGCGCCTATGTGATGCTCTATGATTACATACAATTTTCCAGCTATTTGCCTGGTTTACCTTGTCATGGTGGCACTCTCCATAATCAATCACTACATTCTCTTCAAGGAAAATGACACTGTGGCTTGCCAAATGATTGGTATTTTTATGGGGAGGAAAAAAAGTTCCCATTTCTCAAGAACTTACAACAATTTCCAAATCAGTGGCTCCGACAAATAAATGCTGAAAATATCAAATTTCTAACAAGGTCCATCCTCTTGGACTTTATTTGATCACTTTAGCACTGCAAACGGTGTTACTGAGTTGTTGCTAATTTGGGGATTTGCACATGTTGTAGATGACAGCTTCGTAATAAGGAACACCCAGATTTCAATTACTCTAATTTCTATCATGCACCTTGCAAATGATTTGTATTTGTTTAGAAACAGCTCAATTCACATTTCTTGTAACTTGTTTCCAGGTAATGAAGTCTGGCATGACATGAAAATGAGACAAATATAGAAGGGAAAAAATGTCCAGGGTTGTGGATGCAATAAAACAACACATATTACCGTGGAAAATAAACAACTAAAGTTTATTACAAGAATATACTACCAATCTAAAATAAGAATCAAGTATATAAGAAGTAGTTCTTTGCTCCCAAATGGGAGAAGAAAAAAAAAGGTGAATAAATTAGTGAATTAATGAAGATGACCTTACCTTGGAGACTTTGCCTACCATGCCCCCAAAATGGGATCAGGCAGCATAATATTAATATCAATATTACAGAAACTGTCTAAATAATTGGGAAAAGGTTGAGTTACAGAAAATGGAAGTGGTTTCCTCTAAGACATTTACACACTCCCACATCATTTGTGACCCTCAAAGAGGTGTATTTGTGGTTCTCAATCTTCCTCTAATTTACTGAATTAAAGAAAGCATATTTCACATCTTCTTACATACAATCTACTGCCACAGGGCTACTCAGAACATGGTCTGAGGACACTTCTCCAGTTCTCCAAGTACAGAGGTAAGGACCGAGGCCTAGTGTAGGGAAACAGCATGTCTGAGGACATGTAAAACGTGTGAGGTGGGAACAGGGGGATAATTCAGCTTTCTCACCTCTCAGTCCATCCCCTTCCCCACGTGCCAAGCCTCTGCCACCTCCTTGGCAGCTCCACGCATCCAGCCTGGCTCCAGGCAGTCTGGACTTGGCGCATCCAGGCCGATTCCCGCCTTTGGTTTTCCTCTTTCTGTGTCTGGAGCGCCCTTCCTGCTCAGCTTTGGGGAGTTATCTGCAGTCAGCTCAGGTGCTAGCCGCTGGGACTTAGCGGCCCTTCTCCTGTGCCACCATGACGTCTTCTCTTAACCACTGGTTCAATCCACGGCTGTCTCTACTGGAAAGCCATTTATTCTGATCAACAGCTCCGCATTTATCTTCCTATCCCTGCCACACAGCAAGGTATCTAGCATATTACAGGT